AGCTTCAAAACAAACTACTGATATTTGCCCTGGGACACCTCGAACCTTGCAGTCTTCGCCTAGCTTTGTTCTGGATAAGCTGTTCGTTTCTCAGAATACATAATATCCACTGGCATATTTATATTCACATCAAAAGGAGGTGAGTGTGTGATATTAACCCCCAGGTCTGACTGTGTCGTACATTCAGACCAATCGTGATGGAGACACGACGCTGAAAGGATCATAAAACACAGTATATCAAGAACTGAAATTTCATGATGTCCTTGAAATCAAAATATAGTCGAATTTAAATTGCCATAACTTCATGGTAGAAAATAAATTAAACTGATAAAAGAGAAAATGCATGATAAATTTTTGAAGAATCGGGAATTAAGACAGAAAACCCAACTGAAAGAAATAACTCCGCAGTAGAAAAAAAAGTCCAGATGATCATGCAGTGCACAGTTTTATTCAAAAACTTAGTGTACGCCTACAAGGCAGACGTTAATGTAACACATCATGTACTTATGTAAAAATCAGTTCGTTTTATAGATCTACGCAACTTTGCATGCACTCATGATATTACGTGTGTAATAACTATATTAAACAAAAATGTAGTTTCATGTCGAACAGCAGAACAAATACTGATGGTACGTCTGCATACGTAAAGTGATATTGAATCTTTAAGTCTATCTATCCATCTATTCATTCATTCATTCATTCATTCATTTACTCAATCATTCATTCATTCAATCATTTATTCGATCATTCATTTCTTCAATCAATCATTCACTCATTCATTTAATNAAAACATTAAGTTCCAATCAGCTTCAAAACAAAATACTGATATTTGCCCTGGGACACCTCGAACCTTGCAGTCTTCGCCTAGCTTTGCTCTGGATAAGCTGTTCGTTTCTCAGAATACATAATATCCCTTGGCATATTTATATTCACATCAAAAGGAGGTGAGTGTGTGATATTAACCCCGAGGTCTGACTGTGTCGTACATTCAGACCAATCGTGATGGAGACACGGCGCTGAAAGGATCATAAAACACAGTATATCAAGAACTGAAATTTCATGATGTCCTTGAAATCAAAATATAGTCGAATTTAAATTGCCATAACTTCATGGTAGAAAATAAAGTAAACTGATAAAAGACAAAATGCATGATAAATTTTTGAAGAATCGGGAATTAAGACAGAAAACCCAACTGAAAGAAATAACTCCCCAGTAGAAAAAAAAGTCCAGATGATCATGCAATGCACAGTTTTATTCAAAAACTTAGTGTACGCCTGCAAGGCAGACGTTGATGTAACACATCATGTACTTATTCAAAAATCAATTAGTTTTATAGATCTACGCAACTTTGCATGCACTCATGATATTACGTGTGTATAACTAAATTAAACAAAAATGTAGTTTCATGTCGAACAGCAGAACAAATACTGATGGTGCGTCTGCATACATGAAGTGATATTGAATCTTTAAGTCTATCTATCCATCTATTCATTCATTCATTCATTCATTCATTCATTTACTCAATCATTCATTCATTCAATCATTTATTCGATCATTCATTTCTTCAATCAATCATTCACTCATTCATTTAATCATTCATTCATTCAATCAATCCTTCATTTATTAATTGTATATGGATGGATATGGTAAATGTTATTTGCATTGTTGTTAGTTAATGTTCAAAACTTTATTGTAAGTAGACCAATACCACCCTTTGGAGAGTAAGGGGCAATAAAGAATACTATTACTATGATTACTGTTACTGTTACTGTTACTGTTACTGTTACTGTTACTGTTACTGTTACTGTTACTGTTACTGTTACTGTTACTGTTACTGTTACTGTTACTGTTACTGTTACTGTTACTGTTACTGTTACTATTAATAATCAATCAATCAATCAATCATTCATTCACTCATTATGTTCATTTATTCATGCAACAATATTCATTCATCCATTCATTCTCATGTAGAAAAATCAATTTAAACTAAGTTGCTTTTCAGGTGTCTTTCTAAAGTTCTGCAAACTAAGCTTATGTCATCTCTTATTTGCCCCAATTCCAAAAATTTACCGTCATGCATTTGGGATAGCCGCCAAATCTAGAACAACCGAAGCTATGGGGTGGAAAGAAAGGAGAGTTCAGGGACTGGACTAGCCGAAAACTAATCTAAACTAAATTGCTTTTCAGGTGTAAAGTACTGCAAACTAAGCTTATATCATCTCTTATTTGCCCCAAAAATTTCCGCCCAAGCATTTGGGATAACCGCCAAATCCATAACAATGGAAGGAATGAAAAAATGGCGTGAGACAATAGGTACTGTAAAACCTTTTTTCGCAGCACTTATCGTGCTCGTAACACCCTCGGTGAAAACAGCAATCATCACAAACCCAACTCCAACACGTACATCCTTTACCACACATGCCGAGACAGTCGTTGTTATTGGGGTTGCCTGACAAACCCTGGCATTGTGGCCGCTCCGTCGACCACCGTTTCTTTCTGTTAGCTTGCTTATTATTGGTTTTATCATTTGAGTCATGCGCAGCTCTCAGCTCTGCCGGGGTCTGAATGTCCGAATTCTTCAGGAGATTGAAGCACAGAGCATGAAATCGCTGTAGAATTTGCCAGTCAGTGGTGGAGTTGTCACTTAGTGTGAAGGACAGAAGTTCCAGGAGCTGTATCTCTGTAACGTAGTGCAGCTCGCTTGCCGCTTCTTGATAATGGAGCTTCAGCAGCTCGAGTTCTTCGAGTGTTTTTTCATCGTTTTGCTTCATCGCTTGAAACTCACGAAGCACCTGCGGTACTCTAGGAATGTTATCGGGAACATAAATCAGCGATGATCCGTGACTGCAAAAGATTATTGTGAAANTTACTATTATTATTTTAATTTACAAAC